AGGAATTGTTTGTTGGAGTGCTGGGAACAGTTTGTCTTTCTCAGCCTTAAAAAGTTTCATAGAAGGAAAACATCTTCTCCTAATCTTTGTTCTTTCAAGCAGCAGTTTGGCTCCAGAAATCCAACAGGTATTTTAAACACCCCTTTCCAATTTCAATTTAAAGGAGATTATTTTGTCTCTGGCTGCATTTTTTTTTGTTTTGTTTCCAGCGAAATGGTTTTTAACAATCTGTATTTTTCACGTGTTGTTTTGCTTGGAGGGGAAAAAATATATTTATCTGAAGTATAACAAAAAAACCCCACCCACCTCAGTCACCTTTACTCTGAATTTAAACTGTTTTTTATCTCAAATTAAAACCACTGCAGAGAAAAAATGTTTTTGAGATCAAAGCACAAGGTGCTGCTGAACTGATTTCTTGGAAATGCAAAACTGTGGTGAATATTTTCCTTCTCTAAATCAGGATAAAACAATTCCCAGCTGACACTGAGTCACATCAAAGGAAATATTGGACTGCAACAAGTTCATTTGAGGGCCAAAACTGGCATCAAACAAAAGCTGAAAGTTGGGGGTGGGGAAAGAAAAGGTTTGAGGTCTCCAGATTTTTATTTGTGGTTTGGTGAATTTTTTAAGGAAAGGTGGATTTTTCAAGAAATGTGGATTTTAGGAAAGGTGGATTTTTTAAGGAAAGGTGGATTTTTTAAGAAATGTAAACTTTAGGAAATATGAATTTTAAGAAATGTGGATTTTTAGGAAAGGTGGATTTTAGGAAAGGTGGATTTTTTAAGAAAGGTGAATTTTAAGCAACATGAATTTTTTAAGAAATGTGAGTTTTAGGAAATGAGAATTTTAGGAAATGAGGATTTTTTAAGAAATGTGAATTTTTTAGAAAAGGTGGATTTTAGGAAAGGTGGATTTTTTAGGAAATGTGAACTTTAGGAAACATGAATTTTTTAAGAAAAGTGAATTTTAGGAAAGGTGGATTTTAGGAAAGGTGGATTTTTCAAGAAATGTGGATTTTTTAGGAGAAAGGTGAATTTTAAGGAATGTGAATTTTTTAAGAAATTTGAATTTGAGGAAATGTGAATTTTAGGAAAGGAGAATTTTTTAAGAAATGTGGA